TGGATCCTGTGCAGTGAATGGGTGCCGTCACAATGAAAACATCTTTGATGATTTTGTTTCTTACAAAAACAGCTTTTCACTTAACATAACATTAATTGATGGACTGGGGTGGTGTGGATTACTTGTGCATTATTGTGATGTTTTTATCAACTGTTTGGACTCTCATGACAGCACCCATTGGTGAGCAAGGCCATCTTTTAAGGCCTGAGGGTGAGTACATTTTTAGCAAATTTTATTTTTTGGGTGAACTGTTCCTTTAACCCACTTTATGTCAATTAAATGCACAACAAAAATAATAATAATAGGCCTGATGTCAGGAAAAAATAGCAAACAAAGAAAATTAAAAATGGCTATTTTGAAACACCTATGTGGAGATTAAAACAAAAGAGCATAAATGCAGGACTCTTTATTGTTATAATGTTATAGTGCACAGAAGGTTATGCTGCTTTGAGATATTTAAACATTGAGGGTAACTTACTTTTATACAATGCTTTTCTGTCCAATAAGGCCTTTTTATTCCCACATGTGACAGGAAGCATTTTCTTGTGTTTATCCATGTTCCAAAGATCCTCTTAGGGAGAAGAGGGTAAAACGCATTTAATTAAAATGAACAAGTTGTTTTACATGTTTCATTTTTGTTATAAATATAATGGAGGGAATGCACATAAAGTGTCCAGCAAATGTGTTTTCACGCCAAAAGGAGTTTGTCCAAAAATGAATAGCAACCTGCTTTACTATGCAAGGACGGACGGAAAAACGACAATTCTGTGCTGGAGTCTGAAGAGCTCTGAAGATCTGGAGAATTTTTCGAAATACAAAACAGAATGGTTTCAGAACTTAATGTAATTATTTAGACAGACAGACAAAAAGTCAGGCTGGTCAATCAATTATCTGACTTAGAACTCACCTCTCTCCACGTGTTTATCTGTCGTCCTCTGGCTGCTAATGCTTTGTGATGATGGTCCAGCTTGGTCACTCACAGAGTTGCTCTCTGTCCTTCTCTTTTTAACCTCTCTTTCTTTTCCTGTGCCTCGATCCTCAACTCTTTCTCTTATTTTTTTCTTTGGCTGACTCTTAAGAGCTGAGGAATTAGAAACTAGAATTAGAAAATAAATCAGCAATGCTGAAGACCTCAGTGTAATATTAAAACAAAAGCACTCTCAGATGGTGAGACAGACAGACTGATAGATAGCAAGACATATGCTTTCTTACAGTTCATCAGAGCTGCAGTGATGTCAGAGAGTTGAGAGTAACGCTGTAATATATGCTCCTGGGCCACACATTCCCAGTACTTTCTAACATTCTTCTTTCGACGTTTTTCAATATAATCCAATGCACAATACACACCATTATCATCACCAGTGTTCTCAAGCTTTTGCTTAAAAAAAATTTAAAAAAAAAAGGCAAAAATGTTCAATCTTTTTGCTTCTATATTGATGTATTATTGGTCTGAAATGTTAAGATCATGCTTACATAAAGCTCATCTGTAATGAGTCTATTGTCCTTGAGATGTCGGAGAAACATCAACGGCTCTTCTATTGTAGACATCTTTGTCTTGTTTTGGCAGAAAAAGTCAAACAACTTTTCATCTGTGAAAAATCCAAAGTCCACAGTGTTGTTGTTTTTAATTTTGTTTCTTCTGCTAAAAAAAGAACACATTTAGAATGATTGAATTTGTGATGTGTACCTATGAATTTAGCAGTTTAATTGTATTTTATTTATCAGACACAACAAGCATCCAGCCTTCAGTGACTCATTGTAATGCAATTACAACCCTGTCGCATACTACATACACTTTATAGAAAATATGAAAAAATATAGTTTTACAGACACTATATGGGTGACTACCAGTCCTTAAAGTGTGTTGCAGCAAATAGGAATATTGTGCGGTTGGAGTGAGACAAATATCCTCACGTGTTTAAAGAGGTCATATGATGCGATTTCAATTTTTCCTTTCTCTTTGAAGTGTTACATATGGAACGATATTCCGGACAATTTTTAAATAGAATAGCAAATTGTATTTTCAATTGCGTTTTCAATATGTGGACGCATAAATTGTGACATAATCCAAATGCAATTGCAAATCCTACATTACCGTTTGCATTTTCGCTTTCGCGAACGCACAGTGACTGCCAAATTTCAAATGAAAAAGCAAAGTCCATTTGCAACCGTATTTCCCATGTCTTAGGAGTTATGAGCCTATCATATTTAAATAGCAATATTAATTACCACGTCTGCTTTTTCACTCTCGCTGCGTCGCGCATGTAACCTGCCAAAACTCAAATTGAATCGCAATTCCTTTTGCATTTGAATTTCCAATGTCTACATGTAAAGCTGCCAATCAATGTGAGGGGGCGGGACTATACTAGGGGGCGTGTTTGTATTGGGAGGTGACGTCACTCACAGATGACCGTGCCGAGTGCTCTGATCAATGGAAGTAATCGGTAAAGGCTCCGCTAAAGGCAGCTACCAATCAGTTTTGTACCTGTGTGAAAGAAAAGACAGTGCAACCTTCTTGGCACAATACATAATTCTGTCTTTTTTACCCCAAATGTAGCGATTATCCCCTGCTAACAGCTGGAGCCACAACGATACGCACAATAGGTCAATATTCACTATTAACCAAACGCTTTTCACCTGTCTCAGCATCTCTCACTGTTTACACTCACTTACACTTTTAATCCATAATAGAGAGCGCGTCACACCTGCCTCAAGACCTTTTACCGTTTGCACTCCCCTTGATGCACTTAAATATTCGAACAGAGCAAATCTACACATATTTACCTATTTGCCACCTATATCT